AACTATATTCCGGGATACTACGATGTTGATAACGAGAATCAAGCGTCGGACAACTTGTTGAGCAACGATGAAGATGAGGAGATTGATGATGTGGTTCAGCCGTATTCAAAGGAGCCCATGGCCGACGAAGAGTGGCTTAAAGAATATAAGAAAAGACAGGAGTAGAAAGAACATAGATTAGAAAGTTTGAAACACCGTTTAGCGGGGAAAGAAGAACTTAGCAACTGGTAAGATATACATGTATCGTAACCGAATTCCGTGTCTTCGTTATTTCTGTAAAGATCACGATTGCACTAGGTGTGATGATCGATAATTTTTGCTGTGAAATTTGTAGGTGCTCTTGTGGAAAATGCTCTACAGCCTTCCTACAGAATGCGAACGAGTTCTACTGTTGTAAAGACATGGAAAAATGCAGCGGTGCTCTTTCCGACGAGTGGGTGCTCGAGGAAATGCAGACGCCACCGAACTGCATAACACTTCATCCAGCATTTCAAACTGTTTGTTTGGATAGATGGTCACTCAGGCTATCCGCCGGAAAATACAGAACAATAGATGGGAGAAGTTATCGACAAACCGGTTCGGAAGAAAAGTAAGTCAAGATTCTTTGATTGTAGATAATCTAGCAAGAAGTTCAGGCTATAGCTTGTCATACTTGTACCGATAGTATAAAGAATTCAGATATTAGCTAAATTTTATTGTTTGTGACCTTGAGTAGCTTTGTTTTATGAGCTCATTTTGTTGTCCCTTATCCTCAGTGTGCTTTTGCTAGCTTTATATATACCTCTGTGACCTGTTTACACCATAAGTTGCCATGCCTGTGATCAAATATTTTTGGACTAAGTGTTTCAGAACAGTGTAAACAGTTTCTCTATTTTTCTGAGGAAAAAGTGCTTATTATTTTTCTACTATCAAGAGGAAGGTGCTGGCTAGCTCTCTAGTTAAAGATGTCTTTATCATTATTTTCAAAACCTGTGTAATAGAAATTTGACTAATACACATTTCTAGTCTCTAATTCCAAGTTTTCTTTTGTGACTATTGCTTTGTCATCCTCATCATTATTATGTCTAAACATGAACAATATTATAAAAACATTCCTTGCAGACATTATTTATAGAAATAAGAATTTCCATAATATTCATAATAATTCATAATATTCATTCATCGACTTGTTTCTTTTTTTTAGGTTCATGAGAAGTGTTGCTTACAGAGAATTTATACATCTGGTTTATGATCGTGTTGGAAAGAACAAAATACCACTTCCTACATGTGCCTATCATGCAATAAGAAGCAAGTTTCAACCTAAAGACAGCGATGAATGTTTTGTTGAGTTTGAAGATGAGGTTGAGGAAATGGATGATTAAATTAGAAAATTTCTACAACATAAAAATATAAATATCATGTAATGGTATTTCTTCTGTTTTTTGGACAGTCGAGAACAAATTTGTGGTTCTTCATCGGGTTTTTGCATAGTCGGCAACGTCTGGGTTGCTTCTCTGCTGGTACAGGTCTGTTGACTGGGACAGCCTCACCCACTGAAACATAAAAAAGTCAAACTTMTTTAGAGCAAATAAAAAATATCTTCAGTAATACCACAGCCTATTGCTAAATGAAAATATTTTATTTGACCTGAATACTATAATACCAATAAAATATACCTGGTTCAGTTCCAGAGACCTCTTGCACCACCATTGACTTCCTTTTTTCCTACAACTGCAATGCTCCATTTCTAGATTGCTTCTCCAACATAGTATTCATGTGCGCTGGTGTCATGGCCTCCAGTTCTTCTACGGCTGCTGGCAACTTCTTCTGTTGATTGGCCTCAATAAAAGTTGTGTAAATGTCTTCAATGTAATCTGTTAACAAAACAAAGATAAGAAATACATGTAAGTGTAATATTATGTAAACTAAAAGACTAGCGAGTGAACAACAAGCCTTTAATCAAGATGGCGTCTCTTACCAGAACGTATCCCATGGAGCTTTGCAGCTTATACCACAGGTAACCCAATAGGTAAATAACATAACATAATACATAGATAACATGCATAATACTACATCCCCCCGCAAGCTATAAATGCTATTGATCAATTATAGCGTTAATATGTTCATAGAAGGTTATAGTGTTCAAGTTCAGTCAATGTTCAACATTCACAAATCCAGGCGTTGAGGTGGACGAACAACTCTGCCAACACGAGTAGTGACGAGATTCGGCTGAGCGCTTTCAGTTGGTCCATTCTGCTGGGGTGATTCTGGTTGAACAGCAACTTCAGTTGTAGGCGAAGGTTGGTCGGTTGGTCTCTTGACACTTGTAGCAGGCTCTGTTGGAGCATTTAACACAGGCAGTGTTGTTGGAGGTAGAGATCCAGGTGGAGGTGGATCGGTCTGGCTGAGGCTTACCAATGCCGAGCGATTATGGCGCAGGACTCCTTTCTCCGTACTGACCAGATAAGACCTTGGGTGTTGTGTTTTTGACAGTACTTTTGCCCCTCGCTTCTGATCTCGCACCCATACGTTCTCCCCTTCTTGCAGCTGGGTTAAGTCTTTGGCATCATGGCGAATGTCAAAGTTCCTTTTCTGATTACTTCGGTAAGATTCTTCCTTTTGCCTGACTGCTTCCAAGTCTTGCGACTTTGGTTTCAATGTGCTGGGAAGTACCGGTAGCTGTGTGCGTAATCTGCGGCCCATCAACAGCTCTGAAGGAGATAAGCCATTCTGAAGAGGTGTAGATCTGTATGTAAGAAGAGAGATGTAAGGATCTTCATTCTTTCGGAGTAGGTCCTTCGCTGTGTGAACAGTGCGTTCTGACTCCCCATTTGCCTGAGGATACTTGGGTGAGCTTGTGACTCAGATGGAAATGGGACGAGATGGAAATGAAGAAGGTAGAAGAGGTTCTCTCTGTTCGGGACGATGTTTCGCACATGTGCGGCACCTTGTAACCATATCTTCAATACTATTGTGTATCCCTGGCCACCACACTGATTGGCACGCTCTGGCACGGCACTTGGTTATTCCAAGGTGACCGGTGTGTATACTGTCCAGCATTTCCAGTCTTTTGCTACGAGGGATCACCAGACGTTCACCATATAACAGTAGGTCATTGACGATAGAGAGATTTCCTCTTGCTTTCCAGTAAGGTCGGAGTAGCGGGGTATGTGGCATGTAGGCAGGCCAGCCTTCTGTGCAGTACTTTCGTATGATCGCACACTCTTCATCTGCTTTCTGAGCATCAGATATTTCCTTTAGATGATGTGGTGTAGCTGGCAGAACATGAACTGTGTTTACAGTGAAAGATTCTACTTCACTGGCCAGCTGGTCATCTAGTGGTTGTGATTGGCCAACCGGGGCACGAGATAAGGCATCGGCTGTGACTTGGCATTTGCCCGGCACATACACTACTTGAGGATTGTATCTCATAAGTCTTAGACGAAATCGCTGAATGCGAGCAGGCATCTTTAACAGTTCCTTTGAGTTAAGGAGTGTGGTGAGAGGTTTGTGATCTGTTTCAACAATGAATCGTAGACCGGTTACATACTGAGAGAACTTCTCGCAGGCCCATGTGGTGGCCAGTGCTTCTTTCTCTATGATGGCATAGCGTCGTTCTGCCTCGTTGAGTGAGCGTGAGGCAAAACAGATTGGACGACGATCTCCATTCTTTTGTACCTCGAGTAGTACCGCACCGATTCCTGTTGCTGAGGCATCTGCAGCAATGATGGTCGGGCGAAGTGGATCATAATGAGCAAGTACAGTTGGAGATTGTAGCAATTCTTTTATCTTTTGGAAAGCCTTTTCCTGTTCTACTCCCCATCGCCATGCGCTGTTCTTGTGTAGAAGCTGTCGTAAGGGCTCATTGATGCTGGCTAGATCTGGGATGAACTTCCCCAGGTGGTTTACCATACCCATAAACCTTTGCAACTCTGTAACATTTGATGGTTTTGGAAACTTTGAGGTGACTATAGTCTTCTCAGGGTCGACATGGAGACCGTTGCTATCGATGATGTGGCCAAGAAATTTGATGGATGTCTTAGAAAATTCGCACTTCTCATTCAAAGTAAGACCTGCTTCTTGTAGACGGGACAATGCTGCTCTTACTCTTTTGTTATGTTCTTTCTGGTCAATTCCATGTATAAGGACATCATCCAGTTGACAAATAACTCCTGTTAAACCTTCAAGTGTGCAAGTGTGCTGGATATTATCCTTTGGAAGATCTCTGGGGCTGAGCTGATCCCGAAGGGAAGCCGGTTGAAGCAATATCGACCGAAGGGCGTAATGAACGTTGTGAGTAGCTTTGACTCTTCATCGAGAGGAATTTGCCAGAAGCCACTGTTAGCATCTAACTTGCTAAAAACTTTACCCTGTCCTAGCTTTGCAAGACTTTCGTCGACTGAGGGCATAGGGTGTATTTCACGTTGAACTGCTTTGTTAAGTTKAGTGARGTCTACACATATTCGTACTCTTCCATTAGACTTGGGTACGGGTACCATTCCCGAGCACCACTGTGTTGGGCAAGTCACAGGTGAGATGACTCCCTGCTCCAACATGTTTT